GACCCGGCCCAGCCGGGTCGGGCTCGGGCCCGGGTTCGGGTCCAACGGTCCTATTTTAAAAAAAAATGTTAAATACTAACTAGCCGTTATGGGTGGGATGGGGACAACCCAAACGGCTATATAGCCGTTGGGTGGGGTGCAGGGGGGGTCCGGGGGGGTTGGGTGGTGGGGGGGGTGGGGGGTAAAAAACCTATAAATACTCCTAATCTTAAACATTTTTTCATATCTCTTCTCCAATTCTTCCTAAATCCTATTCTTAACTCTCTACTCTCTAATTCTGTTATTCTCCATTCTCCAATATATTATATTTATTATTTATAATTTATATTAATTATCTACTTATATAAACTATAAATAGATATAAATAGTATTATATTACTTATATTTGTTATCTAATTATATATTACTTATATATTTATTATATCTATTAATATAGTTGGAATTATATCTAATTAATTTGAAGTCATTCTATTACTCCCATCCGAAAGACCGAAAGTCCGAAAGAGGTACGAAATTATTCTATTATTTACACTTGTTTAATTTTGTATTAACGTTACTTGAAAAAAAACTAGTTAATTAGGTTGTACAATTTGCTATAACTCGAATTAATAGTTAGATAAATAGTTAATTACTTTTTTACAATTTTTTATTAATTGCTACATTTGACTCTAGTTTAAAAAATATGTTGTACACAAAACTAGTTAATTCACTAGTTAATTTGCTATAACTCGAATTAATAGTTAGATAAATAGTTAATTACTTTTTTACAATTTTTTATTAATTGCTACATTTGACTCTAGTTTAAAAAAATATGTTGTACACAAAACTAGTTAATTCACTAGTTAATTTGCTATAACTCGAATTAATAGTTAGATAAATAGTTAATTACTTTTTTACAATTTTTTATTAATTGCTACATTTGACTCTAGTTTAAAAAAATATGTTGTACACAAAACTAGTTAATTCACTAGTTAATTTGCTATAACTCGATTTAATAGTTACATAAATAGTTAATTACTTTTTTTACAATTTTTTATTAATCGCTACATTTTTTAGATGGATCATCCTAGATATTCGGTTGATATGGGTAACCTCGAGCGCAACCGAACGAAAGAGCTTGCGAGGAAGAGATCCCGCAAAGGTAAATCACTTATCGGCTCTTCATCTCAAAGTCGAGATGATTTTGATACGGGTTACGCAAGGAGGGATGGGGATGCGATGACCGACGAACAACTAGAACAAGAATTGCACCGACATAATTCCCGCTTTTTTCAAGACCAACCGAGGACCATTGACGAAGAAGAGCTCGAGGACGAGGACGACGATGTGGAGGAAGTAATTCCGGAGAGCCACGACGACGAGGAGGAGGAGGGTGGCGGCAGCCATGACGCCGACCAACCTGCCTCATCCCAAACAGGTACAAAAAAAAGTAAATCTGAACTAATGGCTAATAGTTTTTCTAAGTGGAAGGACCCGAACACCGGGAATTGGACCGCAACTTGCAATTGGTGCAAGAAAGACTATAGCTTGGGGATTTCTGGCGGATACGGATCCGCCACAAGACACCTTAAGTCCAAACACCCGGTGGAGTATGCAAAATTAGGCGGCGGAACGGGGAAGCAAACGCAAATATCGAGGTTTGCAAATAACCAACAAGCTTTTGGTAATTTCTCAAACAATGATGCACAAAATTTGACAGGTATGGCTAACTTACTTGTTGAAGAAATTTTGCCTTATTTGTTTTCTGAAAGTCTTGCTTTTCGTGATTATGCGGAAACTTGTTTAAATCCGCAATATAGAGGTTATAGTCGCAAAACGGTTAAGAAAGAAATTTCAAGGCCTTTATGGTGCGGAAAAGGTAAGGTTACAAAATTATTTTGCAAACTTTGATGGACGTGTTACTGTATGTTCTGACATATGGGAGGATACTTATCATAATTTACATTATTTGGGTCTGACTGTACATTATATTGATAATGATTGGCATATGCATAAACGTGTTCTTGCTTTCCGTGAATTTAATGATCGTCACACCGCTGAACATATTTATATTTTGATTGAGCGTATTTTAATTGAGTATAATTTAATTGATAAGGTGTTTGCTATTGGTTTTGATAATGCTACTAATAATACTGCTGCTATTCCTAGATTGCGTGAATTGTGTGGTTCTACTTCTTTGATGGGTAGATTTTTTCATCAACGATGTGCATGTCATGTTCAAAATTTATGTGTGCAAGATGGTCTAAAAGCGTTGGGAGCATCGTTGGAGGTAGTCAAAAGGGAGGGATTAGACGAATTTGGGGTAATGGACAACTTAGGAAAAAATGGCATGATTATTTGATAGAAAGAGGTGAGAGATATGTGGCTTTTCCTAAAGATTTGTCTATTCGTTGGATTAGTACCTATAAGTTAATTGGAGTTCTTCTTAGATATAAACAACATTTTCCTGCTTTTATGAAACAATATGATAACTATATTATAAACTCGGCTGAGATCGACACCTGTGAAAAAATTTGTAATGCTTTGATATATTTTAATAATGCAACTGAAACTTTTAGTCATGTTTATAAACCTACCTCAAACCAATTTATTCGTGAAGCTGTTAATCTCGCCGGTGCTTTTTCAAATTTTGAGAATGCTGATTATGTGAGTTATTTTGCTAGTTTTATGAAGGAAAAGTTTTTAAAATAGTATTCACATATTCCGCATATTTATGGTATTGCATCTATTCTCGATCCTCGTTTTAGACTTGGTTCTTTAGAAGAATGTTTGAATTATTATTATGCTGCTTTTTTTGGTCCTTTGCCAATGTATGAGGACAACCCAATTGATCCGAAAAAAGAATACAACGAGGTTAGTGATATATTTTATGCATTATTCAATGAGTTTCATGCACAATATGGCAATGCGCCCCCTCCCCCGACACAAACATCATCTAAAGGAAAATCAATTTTCAAATCTACGTTTGCCAATCTTATTAAAAAAACGAAATCAACTCCCGCTACACAACAAAGCACAATTAATGAGATTTCTTTGTATTTAACTTATGATGTTGATTTTGAAGAAGATGATGATTTTGACGTACTAAACTGGTGGAAGGGAAAAGAAAGAATGTTCCCGGTTTTAGCAAAGATGGCTAAGCAAGTGCTATCAATGCCGGTTTCAACGGTTGCCGTGGAACAAGAATTTAGTTCGGCCGGCAATGTCCTAACACAAACCAGAACGAGGTTGAGCGCTGAATCTCTTGAGATGCTTATATGCTACCACGATTGGTTGAAAGCAGCCCATAGAGCTCAAGAAATTGACATCACCCCATCCCAACACTTTATGAATGAATCTACAACCGATGGTGGCTCTACCTATGCTGGAGATTCCGATTGAAATATTGAATGATTGATTAGTATTTCATGTTTTAAAAACAATTATAGTTCCTATTTATTTTTCAAATGTAGTTCCTATTTCATTTCAAATAAATGCACTTCAAGTTTGTTTTTTAATACTTGTGTAAAACTATAAAGTATAAAATATAAATTATAAAAAAAAAATTTACCGACCCGCCCTGGCCTGGCGGGTGGCCCGACCCGTGACCCGGGCGGGTGGCCCGGCCCGAACCGGACCTGTCCAACCCTCGGGCCGGTCCCGGGCCCATGTGATACGAACCGGCGGCCCGACCGGGCCCGACCCCGCCCGAATCCACCCCTGATTGGTCGTTAACAGCCTTAATCGAAATCAACATATGTCATTTTAGATTGTGTTATGTAGACAATACTCGAAACCAAAACGATCTTATATTTTGAATAACAATTAATTTTTCTTCTTCAATTACAACAATGATTCTTTTTAGCACCTTATACGACATCTAAACACTTTTCGAATAACTAAGTACTAACTATAATTTCCGGGACCGGAAGCGGGAGCGCTTACCTCCGGTGCCCCCTAGGTACTCCACTAGATATGTCTCATTCCAAATTGAGATTCATTTATAAATGAGAAAAGTGTCAGACGAGTACATGAAATTGGGAGTTGTGGAGTAGAGAGTATACAATAGTGCAATTGTGATTCAGAGGTACATAAAATTGAAAAATCAATATTCACTTAGTACAAACTTGTATTATCACGTTTAAAATGATGACTTGGCAATTATTAGCGTTCGTGCGGTACACAATGGAGTCCAACCCTTAGGCCATCTCCAACAGTCTACACCATTTTTTACACTAAAATGGTGTAAACATCACATCATACAGTATTTTATCTCCAACAGTTTACACCATTTTAAACACAAAAAAGGAATATTCTCTTTTTAATCTTTTTACTAACTTTTTACCATTCTTCTGTTTAAGTATGTAATTATCATATATTTATACATTAGCCCCTCATTTAATATTTTGGCATTTCACACATTATTTCACACATACAAACTAAAATACACCATTTTAATATGCATTTTCACGCATTTAACTAATTAAAATACAATAATCAATATTTCACAAATACAAACTAAAACCACATAAAATTAATATTACAATAATATTATAATAATTTGTACGTCATTTCTAAATTTTACAAAAAATAATAATTGGGAATCTGCTGCTAAAAAAATTAATTATATTTTTTTATTTTCTATCAAATTAATAATTTTAATTACTTGTTCTATACGGAGGTTTTTAGTTGGATTGTGATTTGTTCCAGACCAGATCAGACCGGATTGACCAAACTTGAGTAGTTATAAAAATATAAAGAAATCAAACCTGACCACATCAGTTCAGATCAAACCAAATCATACCAGACTAGAGCAGATCAGCAATTTCAGTCCAAGTAAAAACATCCTAATTTGTTGTTTTAAAAATGGGTCAAAACCATAACAATCAAAATTTTGGGTCACTTTTGAAATAAAAAAAAATAAAACAAAAAATGGTGGAACATTTTGTGTGCACCATATTTGGTGTGAACTCTCCCCCTCTCCCCCATTTTGGTGTAATGGTGTTGAAAATGGAGTGGCTGTTGGAGTAATTTTTTGGGAAATACACCATTTTGGTGTGATAAATGGTGCTTGTTGGAGTTGGTCTTAGCCGCCGCCCACTCCGATTACTACCGCTCCCTCCGGAGACCCGACTCCGCCCTGGTTTCCTTCTGCGCCAGGGAATCTTTCTCCATCTCTGACATGACACCCTCAGTTTTCCTCCAAACTCCTTCCTCCGCTTCCGCCACCTTCCTACCCGCCGCTGGTGCACATCCCTTCACCATCTCCGTCCATTCACCAAACCGAATAACCACCGCAACGATACTTCTCCCACTCTCATTCTCCCTCAGTCGACAACTCTCTCCTCCCAACGCCACTAGCAGTTCTGGCTACCGCAACCCTGCTAGAAAAAACCCACCATGAAACTCCCCCACATCCTCTCCGATTCCAGCCTCCCCACCACACCGACCAACAACAATTTCTTTGACCACCCATGCACCACGGCTAATGATCCCTCACTAGCTTCCTTCGACAGGAATTGGGAAAATTTCCGCCCTCCTTCACCCCCAACATCTGAGTACTTCAAATAGCTCCATAAATACCTCAAATTTTCCTAAGAGTAGTACGGTTAGGGTTTTGTTTTGCTGATCGATGAGATGGCTTTTATTTGCCTAATGTGTTAGCCAAAGTAAGTGTTTGAAACATGGTAACACAAGTTGGTACTAAATTAACACTGATTTTTCAATTATGTACCTCTAAATCTCAATTGCACTATTGTATACTCATTACTTTGTAGCTCCCAACTTGATGTACTCATTTGACACTTTTCTAATTTATAAATGAAGGTTCTATAGAGAAATACGAGTATGCATCTTACATAGCTATTAGAAGAGTATTGCTTGGAACAAGGAGTATAGGTATTAGAAGAGTTATACGAGTATATGTTAGTTATCATAGGTACCAATCAGTTAATTGAATAGTATTTCAACTTTATATGTCATGTTGACATTTTATGCAGCAATTTATAGTAACTAGTGCTAGTGCTGATAAATCAGTCCAGATTTGGGATGTATCAACATGAGCATGTAATCCCACTCTGAAAGACCTTGATGACAAGGCAAATTTATTCTTATAAGCTTACACAAAATATCTAGACATCATTTTTGTTCTTTCCTAAGCTTACCTATGTGTTGTTTCTGCAATTGCGTGGAATCCATTTAAACCCGAAATTCTTCTTTCCGGATCTTTTGATCATTCTGTTATCTTGGTTGGTATTTGGCATTTAACATCTGAGATTGTTATTTCCTTCCATTCCTATTTCACTCTATAGGTAGATAAAGAGAAAATTGTCCAAATTAGGACTGAAATATAACCTTCTTCCAAAATAGGATCATAGTTTGATTTTCTCTAAATAGGACTAATCATTCTATTTCTACCCCTAACTAATTAATTGATTAACCTAATGAATTTCCCCATAGTTCCCTTGCATAACCATATCAGTCCGTTGGTGTGGGTCCAATCATATACTCTAGGGGTGTAATACAGACTGTAGCTGTCTTAACAAAAAATATCATAATTCATAATTGAATAGTCATTAACGAGACTGAATAAGCATGAATATGTAATCATCAAGACTAGGGTAGTTTTTACATTGCTCAAAAAATGTTTTTTAAGCTTTTCGCTTTGAAAAATTAAAAAGTGTTTTCAAATAACTATTTCTGCCTCAACCAAAAATAACCGTTTCTACTCAAATCAAGCATTCTAAAGTTAAAAGCAGGTGGATGAGTGTTTAAGTGTTTTATACCACCTTCTCCAAACACTAACTTTTACTTTTCCAATATCACTTTTCACTCGAATACTATCAACTTTTAATATTGATAGGTTATCATATAATCTCTAAAATTAACAATTTCGGTTGGTGTACACCTTAGCTTACGTATCCCACGTTAAAACCAAACACCTCCTAATTTACACCCAAGTCAAATTTAAATAACTCATCCAATTCCCAAAGACATACCACATTACCATGCATCTTCCTTTTTAACATTGAGTCAAAGATACATATTTTCATCCAAGTTCACTATCTCTCTCTCTTTCACAGACATTTTCATCCAAGTTCACCAAAGTTGCACAGACTCCAAATCTTGGATCTGGCCTTCTTTCTGTAGGGTTGTACTACTACTCCTGTGGGACAGATGGGATACAAAAGAGTGGTAACTAATAACAATCAGCAGGAGCAAATACCAGAAAAAGATACTCCGTAATAATGTTCACGTTTTGTATTGTCACTGGGTAGTATTGAACTAGCACGAAATACTTCTCTTATCAAACAATACGCATAATAGATAGCAAGATCTGTCTAGATAAGTACGACTCGGCATATCCTTTTTTTTATTTTGGTTCACATAATCATATTGTAGAAAAATACAATAATTAAAAGGTGCAAGAAGTAACATTAGCTGATGGCTTTAAATCTTTGAACAGCCTGTAAAACTAATTTGGGGGTAAAGTAGCACAGATATTTGGAAAAGAGAAAGGACGGTGGAAAGAATAACTAAACACTTCTGTGAACAAGTATTGTTATATTTCATATACTTGATATCAAATGATATACAAGAAGCTATATTTATAGCTATATTTAGAGCACTAGGGTTCCATATACAAAGATATACAAAATTGGCTAAGCCCAACTCTATTATGGTTTCTACACTCCCCCTCAAGCTGGACCATATAAATCATATGTACCAAGCTTGTTACAAATATATCCCACTCTAGGACCTCTAAGAGACTTAGTTAGAATATCTGCAAGTTGTTCGGTTGTGTTGACATAATTTGTGATGATATGTCCGTTCGCGATCTTCTCTCATATAAAATGGCAATCAACTTCAATATGCTTAGTCCTCTCATGATATACCGGATTTGATGCAATGTGCATTGCGGCTTGGTTGTCACACATGAGTTGGACCGGTTTTGTGTTTCCATATTTTAACTCTCAGAGAAGATGCTTCAACCATAAGATTTCACATGTCGCAAGGGCCATTGCACGATATTCTACTTCAGCACTAGATCTGGCAACCACATCCTGTTTCTTACTTTTCCATGAGATTAAGTTTCCACCAATCAAGATGCAATATCCCGAAGTGGAACGTCTATCCATCGGACATCCGGCCCAATCTGCATCACAGTATCCTACAATATCATTGTGATCTCGGTCTTCGAACAACAATCCTTGTCCAGGTGTTTTCTTGATGTATCTCAAAACTCGAATAGCTGCATCCCAATGTCCATTACATGGCTTATCAAGAAACTGACCAAGGGCAAAAGATCTCCCTATTCTGACAAGAGTTTGACGTTTGGATCCATAGGTGTGTCCACTGGCCTGCAATCTAGCATACATGTTTCCTCAAGAATATCCAATGCATATTTTCTTTGTGAAATGGCAATTCCATTTTGAGACTGTGCGACCTCAATGCCACAAAAGTATTTCAACTTTCCCAAGTCTTTTGTTTGGAATTTCCTAAAGAGATATTGCTTCAGGAGTGCAATTCCTTGTTCATCGCTACCTGTAATGACAATGTCATCAACATATACAACAAGATAAATACATTTGTGGCCTGCAGAATGTCTATAAAATATAGAATGGTCGACATCACTGCGAATCATGCCAAAATCGCAGATAACGGCATTAAACCTCCCAAACCATGCACGTGGTGATTGCTTCAAGTCATATAAAGCACGGCGTAATCTGCATACCAAACCAGACTCCCCTCCCCCCGAGCAACAAAACCGGGTGGTTGCTCCATATAAACCTCCTCATGCAGATTACCATGAAGAAATGCATTTTTAATATCCAATTGGAATAATGGTCAGTGGCTCATTGCTGCCATGGATAAAATCAAACGAATCGATGCAATCTTCGCTACAAGAGAAAAAGTGTTAGTGTAATCCAACCATAAATTTGAGTGTACCCTTTTGCCACAAGGCGTGCTTTAAAACGATCAACTTGCCCATCAGGACCAACTTTAACGGTGTAGATCCACCGACACCCAACCACTGATTTGACAGGGGGATGAGGAACTAATTCCCACGTCCCACTAGAATGAAGAGCCTCCATCTCAGCCAACATTGCTTTACGCCATTCCGAATGTGCCAATGCCTCATGTGTTGTTTTAGGGATGGGTATATGAGACAAGTGTGAAATGAAAGCAAAGTAAGGGTAGAGAGGCGGTGATAACTCAAAAAGTTATATATGGGATGTGGATTCAAAGAAGAACGCGTAACTTTTCGGAGGGCAATGGGAAAATCATCCGGAGTGTTTTCAGGTGGTGCGGTAGTTGATGGTGATGATGCAGGAACCGTCATAGGGGAATCAACTGGCGTGGCCACGATAAGCTCAACGAGAGGAGGTCGAGGGCGACAATGGTATACTTGTAATGGAGGAGGGTCTACCACGGGAGAGCAGTGGGGGTGCTCATCAGATGGAGGGGAACAAATAGTTTCTGGATGGATGGGCCGGAGATATGAGATGAAGTCCAAACATGATGGAGTGTCAGCAGATAATGGGTAACAAAAGGAGGACTCGATAAAAGTGACATCAGCCGAAATAAAATGCTTCTTAAGGAATGGAGAATAACAACGATAAAACCGTTTTGGACTCGTGAATATCCAAGAAAAATGCATTTTATTGACCTAGCTGACATTTTAGATAATCCAGGTGTAAAATCATGGACAAAACACACACACCCAAACACATGAGGTGGTAATGGAAATAACTCACGAGTAGGAAACAATACAGAATAAGGAATTTCATTATGAATAAGTGAGGAAGGCATTCTATTTATTAAATAACACGCAGTGAGTACAACGTCTGCCCAATACTGAGGTGGTGTATGTGAATGTAGTAACAGAGTGCAAGCAGTATCAATTAAGTGTCTGTTCTTGCGTTCAGCTGCCCCATTTTGTTGAGGCGTGTGTACACAAGAAGACTGGTGAAGCATACCCCGTGATGTCATGAAGTGATTAAAGGGTGCCGCAAAAAATTCTTTAGCATTATCACTGCGTAAAATTTTGATAGAATGGCCAAACTGAGTGTGGATTTCTGCACAAAAAGTTTGAAAAATATGGAATAATTCAAAACGTTCTTTCATTAAAAACAACCATGTGTAACAGGAAAAGTCGTCCACAAAATTAACAAAATAGCGAAATCCTAAAGTAGAAGTGACTCGATACGGACCCATACATCTGTATGAACTAAATCAAAAGGGGACGCAACCCGTTTATTAACATGCCTTGGAAAGGATTGACGAAGTTGCTTTCCAAGGTGACATGACTCGCAATCTAAAGACGAAAGACTTGAGAAACCTGGACCCATATGTCAAAACTTTAAGAGGCTAGGATGACCCAAACGGTTATGTAACGTTAATGCAGGTTCAACGGAGACACAACCGATTGGATCAACAAGAGAAAGATGATACAAGCCTTGAGATTCATGCCCGACGCCAACCGTCTTCCCCGTACGACGGGCCTGCACAATTATAGAATCGGCAAAAAAGGTTATAGAACAATCAAGAGCACGCGTAATTTTACTAACAGAGACAAGGTTAAAGGGGTTATTGGGAACATATAAGACTGTATGTAATGGTAAGGATGAAAGTGGAAGTGTTTGCCCAATACCTGTGGCCGAAGTTTGATAGTCATTAGCCAGAGTAATTAAAGGAAGGTGTTGGTGCTTAGTAATATGGGACAAAACATGGGGATTACCAGAAATATGGTCGGAAGCACCTGAGTTGATGATCCATGAGCCTGCGGTGTTGGAAACACAAACGGTAGACGTACCAGGTGCAGACAAAGGCACATTAGCCAACTTAAATTTCTGATATGCGGCATATTCGGCTGGAGGTAGAACAACCGGAGATGGTGAGATCTGAGCAACAGTGGCTGAGCTAGGAGGTCTCCCGTGTAACTTCCAACATCTATCTTTAGTATGACCAATCTTATGACCGTAGTCACACTTAGGTGGGCTTCGACGCAGATATCCTTTGTTGTGTCCTCCGTCAGGCCCCACACCTTGGGATGCAAGAATGGTAGAATCAGTGGAACCCAATTCAACAGATATAGGGGCCGCACAAAGAATTCGAGAAAAAGCCTCTGTCATAGTTGGAACCGTAGAACTTGAGAGAATTTGTTCACGAATAGATAAGAGCTCTATGCGAAGACCTGCCAAAGCTAAAACCATAACAAGTTGGTGTCGTTGTTCTAGTTGTTTCTCTCTATCTTCCGTGATGGGTTGGATGGTATTATACTCAAAGAGTAAAGCCTCAGCCCGGACTAGAAAATCGTGGATGTCCAATTCTTGTTGCTTGAGCATGGCAATTTTGGATCCAAAAGAAAACAGACTTTGAATATCATTAGTGTAATTAGACTTGGTTTTCTCCCAAATCTGTTTACACGTTCGATATGATTGATATGTAAGATGAAGTTTGGAGTCCATGGATTTCCACAAAACATTGCACAACAGTGCATTCATATTCTCCCATTTCGTTTTCTTATCCTTGACTGAATTGGCATCCGTGAGCAGGTGATCAATTTGTCCTTGACCTTTGAACCACAACTCCACAGAAATGGCCCATGATTGATAATTAGCACTTCCAACCAAACGGTCCGTTGTAATAACATGAACCGAAGCAAATGAAGAAAAACCAGAAGACATTTTTTTTAATTCTTTTTTTTTGTTTTTTTTGAGTTTTTTTTAAATTAAAGAGAAGTAAATATGAGTAATTTAAAATTACTGCTGCAAGGAAAAAACTATAGCAAAGAGGATCAGTGAATAAAAAACAAAGCAGCAGTAGCAAACCAGAGAGCAATGAAGAAGCTGAAGAAACTGTCTGGTGAAACGGCCGGAGCAGCGGTGAGCAGCCAGAGCAGTGGCAAGTGGACAGAGAGACGGCGACGGCGACGGCGACGACCGATCTGGGCGGCGCGTGGGTTCGGCGGCGGCGCGTGAGTTGTCCAATGAGTGGCTGGTTTATGTTGTTTTGGTCGCCAGGAGTCGCATATCTTCAGTGTGTCTTCTGTGTGATCTCCGGATAACTAGAATGGAGTAGATCTGCAAATATGTAAGTGAGCTGCAGGAAAGGGCGGTGGCACGTGAGGGCGTGTGGTAGCCTCCGTGGCGGTACAGTTTCGGGTGGTTGGTCGCGATGGTATGTTGAGCAAGCCGGTAGGTGTAGATCGGATATTCACTACCGGAAGTGTGCTCCAACACCAATCGCAGCTACTCTTCACGCCGGAAATTATGCCGGAAATGCTTGCCGGAAACCAGTGCCCTAACTACTGTTTGCCACATAGGCTCTGATACCATGTGAACAAGTATTGTTATATTTCATATACTTGATATCAAATGATATACAAGAAGCTATATTTATAGCTATATTTAGAGCACTAAGTTCCATATACAAATATATACAAAATGGGCTAAGCCCAACTCTACTATGGTTTCTACAACTTCTAAATACATCAGAGTTATACTAATGGGGCATTAAAAACACTCAAAAATGTTCATGTTTTCAAGTGTAAAGCATTGACAAGTTATTCCAAATGGCAAAATGGTATAATTTCTCGTTCTTTCAATCACCATAATACTCCCTCCCCACTCCCCCGGGTTAGTGTCAGCTTTATAGTTATTGAGAATTCATCATACACCCTCTTTAGCATACAATATAATAAAGACTGGAAAATTATTAGTTACCAAAAGAAAACGAGAACTAAAAGCCCACTTATTCTGCTTATACCTCTTAGGGGGGAAGCTGAGCACTGGACAAAGACTTAACTTTGGAGTTCTCAATATTTGAGAGTAGCTGGATTACAGTTTCAAGCTGAGGAACACTGCAAAGCCCACTTTCAAAATCAAATCGACATAAGAATTGAATATACATTGAGCATATACTCATATTTATGATATATTTCCAGAGTAATTTATTGCGATTAGATTTCAAAGAATTACAATCAAAATTAAATGTTGGATCATAAAAGGAAAAAAACACAACAACGAAAATAGTCATGATTGCACCGTTGTACCTTCATTTCTTTAGAGGCAACCACAACAGTCAATTATCCAGATGGACACATAGATAAAAAGTAGCACATCAGATATGGATAATACATTAGAACTTGGGCATTATAAATGGCACAGCCGCACAAATGTAGTTCAAGATTGCACCGTTGTACCTTCATTTCTTCTTCTTTTTTTTGCAATGTTCTCATGTAGATTTACTTTCAGAGGTTTTCATCGGTAAACCATGCCTTGAAAGACAGAAGTCAATGTCTGCATCCATGTTAAACACTTACCTTGAAATTCTTTCCCTGTTTTTGTTTTTATGTTTTGAACAATCAGATTCATTTAAATGAAAAACTTCACATGTCCAAGAACAATGTCAGACTATTTAGAAACGATGTTCATATAAAAAAAGAACAGTGTCATACTATTTTGGAATGACTATTCAAATCACACTTCAAAATAATGGTTCGAATATGAGCAATGTGGAGACTAGTAGACTACAGAGGAAGTTGTGTAGACATGATTCAAGCCCAAGCATAGCTACTACTCAAGCACTAAGAAGCAAAACTATTTTATAATATCAGTCATTTAGATAACTGAATATACATCATGTGGAGCAACTTATAAATCAAGTTTGTACTACAATAAAAATACTTTGAGCAAAGAAAGAGTTTATAGAGTATTTGTGCACAACAAGATTAAGATTTCAGTTTTTATTTTATTTCAACCTTCTAAATAAAATGTAATTCAGAAAATGACCTAAATTTAAACTTTCACTTTAAAACAGATATCTACAGTTGTACTACATGAAGAAAGAAAGAAAAGAACAACCATTGAAGTCCTTCATCCATATGTGCATCCAATGATGAAATTATCCGAGGCAACTGCTCCAATACTAATGATGTATTTTTTATTGTAGAGGTCTTAGCCAAAAGACTCTTTGGGAGTTTCCGCAGTTTGGCCTAATGGAAACAGGGTGGTTAAGAAGGATCATACGTTGAGGCATAAGCTTCTAACTGAACGTAAATGCATAATTCCAATACATATCAAGATTATAATGCACAATGCAGTGTATAAATAATTAGTGGTTATTGTTAAGCATTTCATTGAGGTGGAAAAGCATATTATTAGTACAATAATAATGATCTTTGAGTTATAATCAATCCATGGAGATCAACCCAGAATTTGGTTTAGTACCATGAGTCTATAATGTCGTACTTCGCCCATTCTTTTTAGTTGCAACATTCATGTTTTACAACGCACTACTACTTCGAACATTAATATACTTCCATTGCTAAAATTCAAAAAGTGATATGTTGGAGACATATATATTAAGGCAATTTTCACACTATTTTACATAAATATGATTTGTTTTTTATACAATGACAATAAAACAAGATCAAAGCAGGTAACGTGAATAGCAGAAATGTGAAACTATTAAAATTAATATAAGGCAGAGAAAGTATTTGTTAAGACAAGTACAAAAGTTAACCTAGAGTTGCTTAATTAATTTGCAAATCCCTTCCCTTTCATGTAAAAAAACATTGACATTGTCTTTATTATGCCCCCAATTTCATTATTTTAGGAACTTGTCAGCGTCTTTTATGATTGAAATAATTTAGGGACAAATGGATAAATTAATGTAGCTATCCTGACAAATGACCCGTTGCAATGTAAATTTGGTGAAATAATATGATCTGATGAACGGGTTAGGATGAGTAAAAGAATGTGTATGCGGATTTGCCTGCGAAGGGGAAGACTGAAGCATCAGGTGAAGGAGATTGGAGGTGGACTGTACGGACTGGGTGATCTGATCGGCCACCACGGCCTTGGCGGACGCATCTTTGCCGTTTCTGCCGGCGCCGGACGACGTCGTTGTGGTAGAGGACGTAGCCATATCCAGTCCTCTTCTGCTGAACTGGGGAATTTTGTTCAAAGGTTCTTAATATAGCAGATGTATAAAGTTCAGATGTTTTGAAATTTTAATGGAAGAAGACCCGCAGATAACCTAGATTTCCAGACAAGCAAATTACAAATAGGTCAAACACTCTCCAACAAAGTAATAAACTTTCTAATACAACAATGTAGCAAAAGTAAGTCACAAAGTAATGATAGTAAAATTAAAAATATTTGTTATACTCATAATGAAGTACATTAAAACATATGCTTTTATATGAATACATTTGTTAAGTTGAAGTTGTAAAAAGTACTTAAAAAGCTATATTTGTTCAGAAATAGGTCGAGAGTAATCAGCTTGAATCATTAAAAAATTACTTTCACACATCAATAGGTGACTTTTGGGCTAAAAAAAACTTAATTTTTTTTATTAATCTACTTCATTTTTTATTAAAAAGGTTAAAGATTCAACGAACACTTAAGACTATAAACAAATATAGACTTTGAATAGCCAAATCTGCTTCTAAAATTTTAAATAAGTATACATAAAGCTCTATTAGAATCACTATTCCTTATAAACACAAATCACTGTTGGAAAAATGTGTTAAAAATTGCATTAAATGGTCATTTTGGAGCAATTATTTGAGTGGGGTCCACTTCCGATTTGGGTCGGGTTAAAGTGGTTTCGGATTGTCCTTGTTAAGGGCTACAATTCGATATATGGTACGCTCAAAACGGAGAACGGGTGAATGAGAAATTGATTCTCGAAGTTCACTCGTTGAAATGAAAAAACTGGGAAAATGATGGGTTTCTAGTGTGTTTTATCCCACACCGGAAAATTCAAGGGATTTTCACCCCCTTATAAAAGGAAGTCTCTTTTAAGGAGTTAAGATTCCTAAAGGTAAAGGTTCTCTCTTACGCGCAGGGGGGTGCTGATCAAATCCCGAAACGGAGAAGAAAAACCGCGACTCGTTTGTGCGGGTGACCTGCAGACACGAATGCCGTCCAAAAATCTATCTCTCAAGAGAACACCTCGGTATGGTGTTCTGGTGGCGTCGGGCAGAACCCCTCGAAGGGGTGTTCTGTTGGCCGGACAGAACCCTCGAAGGGGTGTTCTGTTGGCTTCGGGCAGAACCCCTCGAAGGGGTGTTCTGTTGGGGGTCTTCTGTCGCGCAATTCTACCGTTACGAAAGTTAATGCCCAACGTTCTTATCTTTTAATGCTGCGTTAAATGGACAGTTTATGGACGATTCAATGCCCAACGGACTGGTAATTGATGTCCAACGTTCAGGTCCATTAACACCCCATTTGACACACAACAAATCCTCCTATAAATAGCTGGCAGGTGGTTTGCAACAAGACACAACACACAATACATTCCTCACGTTTTCTTGAGCTAAAAACACTTCCAGCTACTCTGAAAATTTCCCTAGTGTTCTGCTATTGTTCCAGTTCGCCGGGACTTTCGTTTGTGTGTTCAAATGATCGTTCGTTAGCCACCGTATCCTGGGAAACGGTCGTTGCAACGCTCCTAGCACCGTGGGAGGCGACGAATACGTTTTAAGGACATCGTGCATAGCACGAGCTCTGGCTAAAATCTGCTCCATCTTATTTCTATTTTTCTTTAGCTATTTTATTAATTAATTAATTAATTTTATTAATTAATAGTTCTTCGTTTTCCCAAAACACACCCAACAATCTTAAAACGTATTCGGTGATTGTTCTGCTCCGGTAAACAATCCTAAAACGTATTTTCCTTGGTTGTTGTACTGCGGTAAACAATCTAAAAACGTAGTTTGTCACTTCGGTGAACGAACTTAATTTTTGTGTTATCGGAAAACGTTGAAAACGTTAAAATGGCTTCGCAAGAAATTGGAAAATGTTGGTGGGCAGAACGTTCCAAACGATAATCACTCTGAAAGTGCAGCACCGGTGAACAATGGTTCACAACGCGGTGCATCTACTTTGGGCAACCACGTGGCAATCCCTATGGTTACCGTGCCGAGCAACTCTGTGGAGAAACCCGAAAAATTTAACGGGTTAAACTTCAAGAGGTGGCAGCAAAAGATGCTATTTTACCTAACTACTCTCGGTCTTGCTAGGTTCTTGACCGAAGATGCGCCGGTAGCAATCGGGGGTGAGGTGGATGCGCAATCTTTCAACGCGGTTGAAGCTTGGAAGCATTCTGACTTCCTTTGCCGAAAATATGTGTTGAACAGGCTGCATGATGCTTTGTACGACGTGTATAGCAAATTAGCTACGGCTAAGGAGCTATGGAATGCTTTGGACCACAAATATAAAAGCGAGGATGCCGGCGCAAAGAAATTTGTTGTTGGTCGATTCCTTGATTTTAAAATGGTGGATTCAAAGACGGTCTTGAGTCAAGTTGAGGAAATGCAAATGATTTTCAACGAAATTCGAGATGAAGGAATGACAGTTAGTGAGTCTTTCCAAGTGGCGTCAATTATCCACTTATTGCCGCCGGCTTGGAAGGATTTCAAGAACTACCTTAAGCATAAGCGAAAGGAAATGAACTTGGAGCGATTGATCATCCGTCTTCGGATTGAAGAGGATAACCGGAAGAACGATGGGAAACTCTCAATCGTTACCAGCGCCAAGGCAAACGTGGTGGAGCATGCAAAGGGCTCCAAAACCAAAAATAATGGGAAGAGCAAGCTCGATTCCAAGGGAGGCGTTTCCAAGACAAAGTTCAATGGAAAATGCTTCAATTGCAACAAGAACGGACACAAGTCCGCGGATTGCAAGGCACCAAAGAGGGAGAAAGATTCTCACGTGAACTTGGTGCAAGGTGGGCAAAAGGATGAGGACATCATCCTTGCGGCTTTGGTGATCGAGGTCAACCTCGTTGGATCCAATTCCAAGGAGTGGTTCGTGGACACCGGTGCTACCCGGCATATTTGCTCAAACCGGGAGTTATTCACTACTTTTGAGCCATCAAATGGTGAGAAGGTGTGGATGGGAAACTCAGCTCATTCCGCGGTTGAAGGCGTGGGCAAAGTGATCCTGAAGATGACTTCGGGCAAGGAGCTGACTCTAAACCAAGTTTTGTTCGTTCCGGAAATACGCAAAAACCTGATTTCCGGTTCGTTGTTGAACAAACATGGCTTTCGCATGTTTTTTGAGTTGGACAAATTAGTTTTGTCTAAATCAGGAATGTATGTGGGCAAGGGGTATGCATGTGATGGGTTGTTTAAGCTCAATGTAACGACTATTATTAATAATAATAAAAAATCCCTTATGCTTACTTGCTTGAGTCTTCCAATGTGTGGCATGGTAGACTAGGACATGTTAATTTTAATTCTATACGTAGATTAATTAACATGGGGCACATTCCTAAATTCACAATTGATGTGAAGCACAAATGTGAAGTTTGTGTAGAGGCAAAACTAACGAAAACGTCTTTCAAATCGGTTGAAAGAAAAACGGAATCACTTGAATTAATTCATAGTGACGTTTGTGATTTTAAATCAATACAAACACGTGGCGGTAATAAATATTTTATTACTTTTATCGATGATAGCACTCGCTATAGCTACGTTTATTTATTAAAAAATAAACACGAAGCAATCGATAAATTCATTCTTTATAAGAATGAAGTGGAAAACCAACTTAATCGACGGATTAAAACGGTTAGAAGTGATCGAGGTGGTGAGTATGAAGCACCAATTGGTGACTTTTGCGCTAGCATGGGTATAGTACATGAACGTACTGCACCCTATTCACCTCAATCAAACGGTGTTGCCGAACGAAAGAATCGCACATTGAAAGATATGATGAATGCGATGCTAGTAAGTTCGGGCCTGCCACAAAATATGTGGGGCGAAGCAATCTTGTCAAGCAATTACCTTTTAAATAAGGTTCCCCGGAAAAAATATGATAAAACTCCCTACGAGTTGTGGAAAGGCAAACGGTCTTCCTATCAATATTTAAAAGTGTGGGGGTGTCTTGCAAAGGTGCTTGTACCAACACCTAAGAAAATAAAAATAGGTCCAAAAACGGTGGATTGTATTTTTTTGGGTATGCAATAAATAGTAGTGCTTATCGGTTTTTAGTGTACGATTCGAATAATCTCGATGTACATAAAAACACAATAATTGAATCAAGGAATGCTTCATTCTTTGAAGACGTATTTCCATGCAAGTCCAACGAAGGACCAAGCACGTCAAAACTAACATTTGACGTAGCTATGGAAAATACTAGTGAGGGCTCCGGAGAAGAACCCGAACTTAGACGTAGCAAACGTGCTAGAGTTGAAAAATCTTTCGGACCGGATTTTCTCACATACTTGGTAGAATTTGACTCGGATATTCTAACATGTATGGTAGAAAATGAATTGGATTTTCTAACATGTTTGGTAGAAAATGAACCATGGACTTATACGGAAGCCGTGACGTCTACCGAAGGTCCTATGTGGAAAGAAGCCATCAAAAGTGAGGTGGATTCTATCCTTAAAAATCATACATGGGAATTGGTTGATCTTCCTCTGGGAAATAAACCTTTGGGATCCAAGTGGATTTTTAAATGGAAAATGAAACCTGACGGTTCCATCGATAAGTATAAGGCCAGACTTGTAATCAAGGGATACAAGCAACGTGAGGGCCATGATTACTTTGACACGTATTCTCCTGTGACGAGAATAAATTCCATTAGGATGATACTAGCAATTGCCGCATTGCGGAAATTGGAAGTTCATCAAATGGACGTAAAACCGCTTTTCTAAATGGCGATATAGACGAAGAAATCTATATGGAACAGCCCGAGGGCTTTCATGTTCCTGGCCAAGAAAGGAAAGTGTGTAAAATCATTAATCATTGTATGGATTGAAACAAGCCCCTAAACAGTGGCACGAAAAGTTCGATCATGCAATGTTAATTAATGGGTTTAAAATAAACGAAAGTGACAAATGCGTCTATGTGAAGAGCACGGTAGACGGCTATGTCATTTTATGTTTATACGTGGATGATATACTCATCGTGGGTAGCAATAATCTAATGATTAATTCTACCAAAAGCATGTTAAATTCTAAATTTGACATGAAGGATATGGGGCTGGCCGATTTAATCCTTGGGATTAAAATAATTAGGGGACCAG